CTTCGAATTCCTAGTTCATGAGGAAGAAAATGGCGACAAACCTCGAATGAGAACAGTCGAACAAAGCTAGTTCTTCCATCCAGGAGAGCTCCATGGCCTATGCCAAAAGTACCGCAAAATCTTACAGTGTCCTTTGCATAAGGAAAACATTTGTTGACATAATATAAACCAGTCACTATCCCTGGGAGATGTACCCGAACGTAGATGGTCTCTCCCGTGTCGGCTTCCATCGTGACCAGCACACCATATACCTTACAGCTGTGTGACCGCCGTGCACTTAGCTTTCATTCTTGATTGCCATCGTGCTGGAACTAGATAATTCCGTCCTGAATCTTGAAGGTTTTGTGCAGTTGTCTTTTGAAGGCCATGTCAGTTTTCCTGCTCATTGATAAGAGATGTACAGCAGTGGGACGTACGAGTTGATGAAATGGTCGGAACATGCCCCAAGTCTAGCAATTATCTCCGGTCCATACAAGCTAATAACTGCGCGACTGAACGTAGAGCTCAGGAGCTAAAAGCATGCCAACCAAGTGGAATCTGATCTCGGTCATTCTAGCGCTAAAATGTGAAGACAAGCGGCCGGGCGTACGCACATAACCGAATGTTCTCCGCCAGAGCATTATGAGAAGAGAATCTAGACCATAAAGCCATAAAAGTGGAAATCTAGTGCTAACAAGTTACTCCATACAATCCAATACCAACATATGTCAAGCAAATAAACCTCATGTGCATTTTGTGCATTTTTATCCCCTTTCTATAAAAGTTGATGAGTAAGCGCATGAAGAAAAGAACAATGAAGAGATCATTAGGATGTTTATGCCCGCACAAGCTTGTCAGCCTCCTGCTCCAGAACAAGCTTCATCTTAGAAAGGAATGCCTGGGCCCTCTTCTCTTCCGACTTGGGAACCTGCAGGCTGAAAACGTTGGGTCCAGAGGTGGTCAGACCGGGGGTGGCGGACTTGCTCTGAGGAGCGGCGCGCTTGGAGGGAGCGGCAAGGATATCGATAATATCGGTCTTGCGCGCTGCCCGCTGAGGGGCCACGAAGGAGCCGAATGTGGGAGTATAAGAGCCGCGGGATTCCTTGTGCTTGACCTTGTCGAGACCGAGAACCTGGTCAAAGAGCTCATCAGCGGTAGGCTGGTAGTTTGCGGGAAGAGGGAGCTTCTGGTTGGCGATCTCGGTGGCACGGGCAATGAAGGTCGAAAGAGGGAGGAAGACGCCGATGGCCTGGTGAACCTTCTTTTGGACCTCAATGACGGCGGACAAAGAAATAGGAGCGGTGACAACAGCTACGGGAGAAGGAGCAGGGGTATCCAGCTTCTTGGACTGAGCCTTCTCGGTGGTGGCCTTGATGGCCTCGGTGCTCTTGGCAACCTTGATGTTGCTAAGGTCGAGGTGCGACTGCTTCTCGAACCTCGCGGAGACGGTGGCCGGAGTCTGGGCGTTGATCTTACCAAGGTAGGCAAGAACGTCGCCCTTTAGTAGACGGCCGCCGGGGCCGGTTGGGGTGATATCCTTAACGGCAGCGGCGTCAACGCCGTTGACCTTGAGCAGATGGGCGACGGAAGGATAGTGGGGGTATTGCCTGTTCGGGGGCTTGGGGACCGACTTGGACGAGGACTTCTGAGGGGCGGATTCGGGAACGGCAACGTTGGATTGGTCCGCGGTGGTCGGTGGGGGAGGTGCCGAAGGTGCTGACTCGGCTGGCTTGGACTGTGGGGCCGCGTCGGCCGGGATCTCGAGAGAGCTAATGTCGTCTCCATCCTCCGCAATGACTGCTATCCGAGTACCGACAGCAACACCCTTGGCACCATCGGCCTGCATGATCTTGACCATGATACCATCATCCTGTGCCTCGACGTCCATGGTGGCCTTGTCGGTTTCGATTTCCAACAACACATCACCAGCAGAGAACTTGTCGCCCTCCTTCACCCTCCAGGTCGCGATGCTGCCCTCCGTCATTGTCGGCGAAAGAGCGGGCATGGTAAAGTTTTGAGCGGCGAGAGCAGCGGCAGAGGTACGGAAACCTGTTTACATGACACGTTTCGCCCAGTCAGTACGTGATGACTTTAAGACCACCTAAAGTAGGGAACATGTTGACGGGCAGGTGACGGAGGGAACCGACCTCTGAGAGACTGCCTTGCCATTCTGGCAGAGATGCGACAAGCTGCTGTTAGCGAAGCCATGGCTGACTGTTATGTGGTGTTGTTGCGACGAGACGAAGTGAAATGCGCGGTTGACGTGGATATCGCGGTAGTGGCTGTGGTGGTTTCCAGCAAGGAATCGAGAATGGGGTTCGTGGTTGCTGCTTGCTGGGGATCTCCAATTGAGCCTTGGTTATGCTTGACGTATGTAGAACGAGTCAGGTTCAATGCTAAATTCCACTCGCGAGGAAGAAGGGATGGGCGCGGGCAGTGGATCTTTTTGTTTCCTGTCAAGAAATCTGGCAGCGGGCCCGGCGGCGACAGAACTGGTGAGGGTCGATGGTGAGGGACATGTTGGGGAAACCGACCTGCCCGAGACGGAGCTTGGGCCACCCTCCAAATCCTCCGATGAACCCCCGCGCCCCATGTCCCCAAACCCTTCTGGGCAGCATTTTTGGCGACGTCTTCACCACTGGCGTGCAGCCGTCTCTGCGCAGGAGGGACGCGCTAAGAGTGGGGGCCAAGTGGAAGTTGGAGTTGTCATCTTTGCGCTAGGGCCAGCAAGGGTTGGGACATCCTCGTCGGGGCTAGGGGTCGATAGAAACGGAAAAAATGGCATTCTTTCATTTCCCTTACGATACAGAGTCTGACCGCTAGTAAGTGAACCGTGCACGAGTCCGTGCACTCTGGGCGATTTCGCCTGTCTGGCAGGGGGGGTTGGCCCAGATTCATGCCCTTGTGTGCCATGAAAAGAAAAATATAGTCACGTTTTATATCACATGCGGTAAGTATCATCATTTTTGCATGAAATTTTCAGTAAATTTCGTAACTGACACTAGCGTTGTCTTGCAGATCGATCCCTAGTCGGGGCGGCCTGTCTCCGGCCTCCAAATTCTCCCCTGCCGCCAAGAACTGGTGCCCACATCAAATTGCGGACCGAGTTCCTGAGAGCGATCCGCCAAAATATTCGAGACCTGGGAGCGGGTCCGAAGATAACGAACGCTTTTGAACTGGACCCGAAACGAAACGAGACAGAACGGCACCAGGTGGCCGGGCCGCACCGTGATCCAGTTTCCCACCCCGCCGACAACTGACAAGGACCCGGACCGGAGCCGCTCGTCCTCAAATCCACATAAACCCCGTTGCCGATCCCCGTCCCCGGCGCCGTATAGAACTACCACCCGGCATCCGCACCACGGTCACAACCATGGCTTCCATTGCTAGTAGGCTCAGCAGCCAGTTCGTGCTGTTTGCACACCGGACGGCGCCATGTGCCAGGACCCCTTCCCAAGCTTCGGCAATACGTTTCGCCCTGGTCTTCGGCTCCGGCTCCGGATCCAGCTTCCGCACCGCCCAAACGGCACGTTTCTTTGCTTCCAAGGCCAAGAAGCCAGCAAAGAAGCCAGCACCATCAGCCACCACCATCACCACCGTCTCTGCCCCTCCCACCATCGTTCCCGCCTCCTATGCCGAACAGCTAGCCAAGAAGGGCCGGACCCTCCTCTACGAGGCTCACTCGCACGCCTGGTTCCGCTTCGCCAGCTTCACCACCGGCAGCTTCTGCGTCGCCTACTCGCTCTACAACTACTGGAGCGTCCACCTCAACCCCCCTGACGACCTGCCCACCTGGGTCCCCTATGCCTACGGCGTCATCTGCGCCATGACCATCGGCATGGGCGGCTACTTCTTCATGGGCATGCGGCGGATCGTCCGGCACATGGAGGCCGTGCCAGCCTCGCAGGTCGCCTCTCAGCTCATCACCGGCGGCGCCGCTTCCGGGGCGACGAAGAAGTCGGCGTCGTCCAAGGGATGGGCCGAGCTGCTCACCATCAAGCCCAAGGCCGTGCCGGTGACCACCCCCACCCCGATCTACATCGAAGTCGCCTACAGCCGCGCCATCCCCTTCTTGCCCAACAAGAAGGCGTACTACCACCCTTCCGAGGTCGAGATGCCGTTCCGCATGCAGCTGCTATGCGAGAAGCTGAACTCCCTCACGGCGCAGAAGGTGGTGGCGAAGAATCTGCCCACCACCAAGACGGGGCATATGATTGCCGCGAGCAAGCAGAAGGTTGCCAGGGAGAAGGAGCGCAAGGAAAGGATGCAGCATCTGCTTACCTTGCCGTTCAGGGACGCGGCCAAGGTGTTCCGGGGGGCGTACGAGGGGCTCAGGAGGTCGTTTTATCGTGAGGGCTTTGCGAAGGTCTATCTCAGGGGCGTGGAGTATAAGCTGGATATGACTTCTGGGTGGGCGTTGGATGATGGGAGGGCTATTGATCGGCTGGTGCATGTCAAGCCGAGTGCGAACATCAATGCTTATTGAGTGGGCACACGGACTGGAGATGGTGAGCTGGGAGGGAAAGGAGTTGAGGTATGTACGTACCCCTGACTGGTTCGTAGGATACGATACCTTTGTGTAGACCACTGTAGCATATATGTATAATCATAAGCGGATGGGACGGACTCGAGATAGACAGAAAGAATTCGCCTTCGAGTTATAAAGGTTTCATGTTTGGAAGAGTGTCTAGAATTGCTGCCTCCAAGACTTTGGACGAAGGTAGACGGCATGTCTTGATTGGCTAGCGCCTTGACGTATTTGTTCATGAAAGGTCGATCAAACCTGAACTGTCCGAGGAGAGCGTTACACGGATGTCGAAATACTAACAAAAACGAAAATAAAAATTGTCTTACCTAGGAAGGTGAACATTTTCTATGCTTAGCACAATGTGTGACGAACGAGGGGAGCAAGCAAGATATATATATATATATAAAAAAAAAAAAAAAGTTTACAACAATGAAGTGCCTGTCCATCAAAACAAATCCATCACAAAACAGTAAAAAAAAGCCAAGAAAAAACATGGGACCTGGGAGGCTCGAACTCCCGACCTCAGGATTACTCTGACGTTAAGCCAGATCATACAGGGTATGAGACCTGCGCGCTAGCCAACTGCGCCAAGGTCCCTTGCTGAAGAAGAGAGCGTGAGCATGTGCTTATAATACAAAGATCTTTGCCTGCATTTTTTTCCGAGTCGAGAGGCAGCAACATCATCCCGGCCTTTTAAAGGAAACAACAATACCAACGTGGTTTTCACATCACACCCCCCTCGAAGCGGAAAACCTTTGACACAATGAATCGAGAGGTTAACATCTTTTTCTATGTAAAATCGCAGACTACCTGACCTCGCCTACTCACATGCTGGCTTGGCACGTCATAAACTTTGAAAGCAACGCTCAGCCGCCCATGATTTTTTTTGGAAACGCACATACTTAGTCTCTCCCTTCCTCCTAGGCCGTGGCGAGAATAGTGTCCACAGTCGCATTCCTATTACGACGCTGCGGAGCAGAGTTCATGCTTTCACTTCCGGCGGCCTGCTGCTGTTGACCAACAGCAGCAGCTGTGGTAACCCCATCATCCATGATCAAATCAGTCTCCCAGCCCTCCCAGCTAGGCCCGTCAAACCCGTTCGGCCTTGAGGCACGCTCATGCTGGATCAACAGCCCATCCACCTCAATCGCCTCCTTTGGCCAGCGAATCTCCTTGTCATTGAACCCCTTGCTCTTCGCCTTGAGCATCAACTCGTGCCCAAACAGATGCGGATACGCGCGCTGCATAGCCTTGAGCGCCTCCCCACTGACCTTGTCGACTGAGTCATAGTGGCGCAACTTGAAGAACGGGCCCGCAAACACGGTCTTCAGCCGCTCCTGCTCCTGCTGCGGAAGCAATCCCAGCTTGAGCAAGAATATGTCATACTGGCAGAGACTGGTCCGACACATCCACGACCCGCCTTTGGTCTCGCGCTGGTACAGGCCCGCCATGGCGGCCACGCAACCCAAAGCGCCGGTGCCGTAGTCCGACATGGGCATAGGCGGCACGCTGGGCTCGTTTTCTAGTCCCATGAACTTTCCCTGAGCCCAGGCGACGCCCGTGACGCAGTCGGCGATCTGCTGCCAGCCGCGGCGGCCGGCCCACTCGGCTCCGGGAACACCTGTTCCGCCGAAGCAGTCTTCGGCCACGTAGACGAAGCCACGGTTGCCGCGCTGCTGGGCTAGTTTGGCCAGAGATGCCGGGTCGCAGCCAAACTTGGCGAGGGCGCCGGGCCGATATCCGTCAATGAGAACGTCGGCTTCGGCGAGGAGGTTCTGGAATGTTTGGAGATCGCTCGGGTTGTGAAGGTCGAGATGGGTTGTGTGCTTGCCGGTGTTGACGTCGACTTGGAAGAAGGGAACATCGGGAAGTTCGGGACCGGTCACCTTGAGCACTTGGGCGCCGTGCGCGGCAAGAGAGCGGCCAATGGTCGGACCGGCTATGACGCGGCACAACTCGATGACTTTGATGCCACGCAGGGTGTACTGAGGACCGTTTGCGGGCACCTTCGGCCGGAGATGGCTCTGGAATCCCGCTTCTGTGGGTGTGTGTGGCGGAGTATTAGGTACCGCCGTTTGGGGTACCTTGATGGCCTCAACGGTGAAAGGAGGCAACGCCGAAACGGCCTTTCCGTGAGAGGTCTTGAGGAAGTCTTCCCACTCGAGGGCCTCCACACCGGCTTGTCCGTGCTTGTTGTTCATTTCCTCCAACTCTGCGACCGTAAACTTCTTCACAGCGGCCTCGATTGTGTCGATACACATCTTGTAGTCGGTCAACTGAGGATTAAAAGGCGGAAGGCCGATCATGCGGAGTTGAGTAGTGGCGTCGAGTGAGCCATGAATATGGTAGTATCTGCCATCCTCCTTGGTCTCGTAAAGGTTCGCGGAGAGTCGGCGATACTGTATGGACTGAGCCTGGTTGTAGTCGGTGTCTATGGTCAACTTAGTGAGGTGTGTCCTAAATACCATGTAGTAATTGGTTACATGGGGGTCGTAAGACAAGATGCCTTACCTGGAATCAAACCCTTCGTAGTCTGTCCCTTGCGCTTGCCGTCAACGGTAGCAAGGTAGGCCGACATGAGGAAGCAGGCCGCCTTGTCGAGATCCACTTTGATCGATCGTGGCTTCTTTCCATGACGAAGGTCACCAATGGCAGCAGCAGCACATGCCTCAAGGGCCTTGATGGCTGCTATGACATCTTGCTCTCGGCAAGGACTCGGAAAGTACACTTGGTCTCCATGGCTGGAAGGAGCGAACTTGACATTGCCGGAATAGGAGCGAAACTCTTCGGGGATTTGACCTTTGCATTGCTTTAAAAGCTCGCTAAAAGCCTCTGATGCGCCAATGGCAACAGAATAGGGTCGGGTAGTCGACTTGTCCATGCTGTTGGATGCTCGGATACCACCGGTGCTCAGAGTCTTGGGTCGGGGGTGGATGAGACACACAGACCGAACATGTGCGGAATATGGTTGAGGAGTTCGTGGTTAAGGGAGGGAGAAAAGAGGAGAGTTCGGGATTCCTGCAGCCATGGGGTTCTCTTATACACCTGCCGTGCAAAACTTCAAGGTTGCCCAAAGTGAATGGCTAGTATTCGCTTTGAGCTGTCACTTTCAAGGTCGCTCCAGAGGTTACCGAGGAGCATTGTTCACTAGCCAGTCCCCATGATCATACCATGCCGAAATATCATCCCTCGGACCAAAGGCGAGCGGGGAAATAACGAGTGAAGGGACTTATTCCCTCTCCACTCTTCAAATGTGGTTTGAATCCGGTTGGACGGTGAAGGGAGCGGACTGGTTAAGGGAAGACGTGGCAATAGACAAAAGTGAGAGGGAAATGTGATCTTGTGCTGATCCGATATTATCCCGAGCCCCCAAAACAAAACTTACCCGCCATGACCTCATAAACCTCTCTTTAAACACTATTTCTTGTGATTCAGGTCATATCTAACAGAGTCAAGGGACCCAAGTGCTAGGTGAAACAGAAAAGGGGACGCGGCCAGAAGCTGTCCATCCCACCAACGATCCCAACTTGTTCCATGGATATCTCCACCTACCTTAGCTAGCCAACCGGCAAGGCTGATGAGGCGTCCAGAGCTTTGATGAACATAATGACGTGCCAATTTGGACGAATATGCGTCGACAAGATTCTGCATGAGACCTGGCTTAGGATACCGTTGAAAGGGCATAATGTCCCGGCAGTTACATCGGGACCTGGCAGGACATGGGTGCCCTTGGGGGTTAACTCGGCCGTCTATGAACCTACTGGCCCTCGGTTCCTCGGAACGCCGTCACGAGGTAAAGAAGGCCACGCTACTACGCTGCACCCGACCGGGGGACAGTTTCTGGGTGGGGGGGGGAGGGAGCGGCGGAGGCTGTTATCTTGGTTGGATCTCTTGGGCCGGGTACACCAAAGAACCCCAGCCTACGATGAACGTGCGGGGAGTGTGCTGCACTCCGCACCCATCTACCCGCACATTGGGTGCTTGAGACGGTTCTCGGACGTGGGGGATCCGTGTGTGATGTCGAGTGTTTGGCCTGTAGGGAGTAGCCGAAGACTACCGACTTGACTGGAATCTTGCATGCACATTCACCGCATGTTGAACAGTTGAAATCTGGAGGCAGCCCGTGGTAACTTGAACAAGCCACAAGCTGCTTCGAATAAAGGCATTCCCGAAGGGTTCAGATGCAGGTGTGGGAGCTCAACAGCCATGTAACAAGGGCTGTCAGCACGTGGTAATAAGTTGTTGCCCTTCTGAGTGTCTCTGGAAGGCTGAACAGGGCAAGTCCGGTTACACCTCGCGTAGCAGTTGCACTTTGATATCCAGAAGCCACCCAGAAGGCAGAGTAAGCCGCTCGAAGACAACCCTTTTTTGTGTTGACCCGGCAAGGTTTGAAGTCGGAGGGTTGGGGACGCTTTGCCGGAGCTGAGCCGTGTCACATCCCGTGTTTCCAGACTCCAAAGAGGCAACCCGTGAGGACCGAATTTTGCGTCGCAATGAAAGAGCAGCAAAAGCTCAGCGAACTATTGACCTTTGCAAGATGAGGACATGGAGCTAGGCTCGAAGGCCCTGTCTACCAGCCCTCGAGTTCCGCATTCAACCTGAGACTACTCTCATGCCTGTCGATCCGACGACGAAGAAATATCCGAAGCCATAGCAAAAACGACTAATCGACTTTTTTTTTCTTTCTTCGCTTTCCGCTGTGAAATGATCAAGTTCGGATGCCTTCTATTCGCCTCGTTCAGGTGTGACATGAGTGGTGAGTGAGACTTGCGTATCGGCGAACTGGTTTTACATGGTAAAGCAGCATGGAGAAGCAGAAGGCCGGGGAGACTGGAAGTGATTTGCCGACTTTCTTCCTTTTCACCGGTCATGCTCTGATGCTATCCATGTCTTGAAGCAAGAAGTGAGTGATAGGAAATAACCAACGTGCATTTGTGATGGGGATGGTCATCTACTTACGCGTCAGCTCAAGAGTGAGTGAGATGATCTCGACTTGAAGAGGCTCAGGATGGGTTGGATTCTTGGGCTTATCAGGACTTGTTCCATGATTTATCACCGTAAGCGACCCAACAAATCCAACCTTGGAGATTGAGCAGAAAACCAAGATCTGATGTTCCGGGAAAAGTCCAAGAATAGAAAGCTCATACGTTCTATCATGAAGTTGGACTTGATCAGGTGGTTACCTAGTAGATGAGGTTGTATGTAACTGTTAACAGCAGACATGGGAGATTTGCAGGGAAACTGTTAAGACCACCATCCGTAATCCTTACACCACCACAATACCACACCTTGATGGCTCTCCGGTCTTTTCTTTTGCTAGGGCGGGATGACAAGCTGAAAGTCAGGTCTTACTTGGCTCGCGGGCATGTGATCAACATGCGTTGTCGATGATTGGACTGGGTGTTGGAGGGGCTCGAGGACATCCAGCGGAAAGAGCCCGAGTCTAGGTGCATTATCCGATGAAGCACAGGGCCCTTTCCGTCATCCACAGGGCACGAATCACACGTCATGCCTGTAGCGCTGCTGTTGGCAGGTGCTTCCCTATGTTACAGCGGGTGCACAGGCAGGGAGCGGAGACAGCACTCAGCCGACCGGCC